GGTAAAAGAACAACAGACTGTCCCATAGGAGTAGAGTCACCTTGCAATTGAAGGTTAGAGGTAGCCATAATGGTGGGGTTGTCTCCCAGATTGCCCTGGGCACAGGCAGTCTGAATCACTGAGGGGTGGCCTGAGGTCGGCACCGAAGCAGAGTTGGCCACGTTCATATCAGTAGAGTTCGCCACACAAGGAGGGGCACACAAAGGCATCCCTCCTGAGGCATTGCAGGAGGATGTAGAAGGCCTGTCAGTCATTGTTGGGTGGTAGGCAGGAGGGGCAGCCACGGCCCCCGTTGTCGATGTCCCTGGAAAGGCAGGCAAAGGCATAGGAGGAAGCGGGGCTTGTATGAACAGCATCTGGCCCGAAGGGCCCATCTGCCAAAAACCCGGGCAGGGAGGGGGAGCCCTGGGCACACGGCGTCGCCGAGAAGATCTCGTCGTTCTGGAACGCCTGCTCCGTCCCGAGGATGAAGAGGAAGAGCAGGAGGAGGAGGAGGAAGAGGAAGAGGGCCGGGAGCGTCTCGATCGCGAGCGGCGTCGACGGCGGTGGGATCTTCCGCTTGCTCGGGACGGGGATCTCGAGCGTCTCTGCCTCCTGCTGCGCCGATCAAGGGACCGTTGAGGCCAGGGCTGCGCCGGCGAAGCCGGTATCGGGATGGGGAGAGCCCCTTCAATAGCGAGGGCTCCTCCTTCGCGACCGGCTCCCTCTTGCGGCGCATTGTCGCCCACGCCGACTTCCGCGTCCCCGCCCCCAGACGGAGGAGGAGGCGCGCATGCGCTCTCGGGTGGGAGGATTGGCCCCGGCGAGGGATGCATCGGCACCGACGAAGGGAGCATCGGCAGGGATGCCGCCGCCGTGGCAATCGTCGGCCTCGGCGAATCCCGGACCCGCTGCAGAGGAGGCGGCGAGAAGAGAGGCAGCGCCGCAGAGGGCGACATCAGGCAGGTCGGGCCCATGGCGGGCGGATTCGCCGGTAGCGGGGTGGAAGTCGAAGGGACGGGTAGCGCCGCATTATCTGCCTGTAGGGGCAGTATTGTCTCGGCCTGAGCGCTAGGAGGCCCAAGGGAAGCCTCAGTGCGAAGGCTGCCAGGAGCTTTTCCCGCTCTTTCTCCAAGAGATTTCTTTTGCGAGGAGGCCTGACGGCCATCTTGTGGCTCGCAATTTTTGGGTTTTTTTTGGTCTTCTTCTTGGCCGGGCCCATGGAAGAGGCCGAGAAGGGCAAGGCCGAGCGCTCCGTGGGATGTCCTGGGGTGACAGGGGGGAGGAGGGCCCTCTCGTAAAGTGCCGCCCGGAGCCTGGAGACTCGATTTTTCCTAGTCTGCGGCGTAAACGAAAGGCATATGGCGCAAGACTGCGTCAAGTGAGCCTCCCCCAGGCAAGTGAGGCAAAGGGAGTGCCCGTCCGTGTCCGGGAGGATGTTGGGGCACTTGGAGCACTTCTTGAATGAAGTGGTAGCCATAATAGAAGGATGTAGCAGGGGGAGTTGTCAAATCCAGTCCAAAGTCGAATACCTCAAATACAGTCCGGGTCGTCGAGTCAAGAGGGCTAGTGAAGAATCGTCAAAGACAGTCCAGGTCGAAAACCAGATAATCCAATGAGTTGAACCAATGAAATAGATCAATTAGATCAATAAAGCACAGAAGGTCCTCTAGTTGTTTCACGCGCGAGCGGAATAAGAGAACTGACGGCTAGTCCCGCCTCCGGACTATATATACTCGGGAGGGGGGGGGCGGGCCTAGCTGAGGGCTGAAAGTGTTTTTTACTTCTAGAAGGTTCCGAAAAGTTGTATTGCGCAAGTGCAAGGATATCAAATGTACGATTCACAGTGACTACGACAGGAAACCCCCATTTAGACATATCCTACTTCTGTTCACACCCAGTGTTTTAATTTTTTTTAATCTACTACATCTGGCCCTGCCCACAGTGTTTTTAAATCTCTTGTGTGTTACTGCTTATATGTTTTATAACCATGTAGGAATGGAGGGTTAAGTTCATGTGTCCAGGTCTCTTGCAGCCAGATAATGTCGAATTTCTGAATAGTTTCAATGAATTCCTTATCTGCCACTTTATTTTCCCAGCCAGCCAGATTCCAGGAGATTATATCCAACCCCATTTGCTTTTTATCCAGTCAACTGGAGTTTCTAGTGGATGATTGAAGAAGTTCAGTGTTAGTTCTTTTGTCTCCGATGCGGATCCCACTGTGGTGACCTCCCGAGCTTCTGGGAAAAAGGCCGGGGGCATATTCTTGTTTAGGACTGCCCAGATATGCTCCATCCACCATGTACCTATGATGTCCTGTGCTTCCGATCTTATGTTCTTGTTGTAGCTGGATATTGTTTGGATATGTAATGAAGGGCGGGGTGCTATGACGATGATTCCTCCCTCCCCTCCAGTTTCTATTTCTGGGTGGGCTTCCCCGCTTGTCCTGTAAGCAGGATGCTGGATGTTTGGGATGCCAAGGCCCGTTTTCATTCTGCGGCTGTTTTAGTTCAAATAGTAGATCTTCACTGAGAGAGTGTAATAAGGACCAGAATTTGCACCTCCCCTCAGGATCCTGGAATGTTAGTTCTATGCTTCCTCTTTGCCCATTCTGTGTCAGGTGTTTACAGAATACACCATAATTTAAGTCCAATGTGTGCCCCAGGGATGATTGTAGCTCTGCTAGGTGTTCCTTTGCTGATATCATTGTCCCATTTGGTTTCTTCACAATCCAGTTATGTATAATCACTTGCCCTCCATTAGGGGGTCTCTTTCTATGTTGACTGTGGTTGGGGGCTGGGTTTTTTTTCCAGCCGATCGGGGAGCTCGTTATCTACTTCTCCACTACCTTCAGCCATTTCTCTGAGTCTCTTTTGGAGTGCTGAGAGAGTAGGGCATTCACTTCCTGGGACTGAAGCCTCTTTTGCAGCAGAGCTATTGGAGTTTTTTGATGAGGTATCGAGTGTAGTATTATTTTTGCTGTAGTATGTCCTTTGGTTGCAGGGAGGAGGGGGGGGGTGTCTGAATGGCTCTCCAGGAACTCATCTATTACCTGGAATTTTGAGTCTGAGGGAGTGAGACTAAGCACTGAGGTCAAATTGGTGCTGTTGGGGCATAGCTCATTTTTTCCAAATAGGGGACAGTAGTAGAATGGTGCTTTGCCAAAACCACAACAACGATTGTAGGACAAGTTATAATACAAATGCTGCTTCAGCTTCCGGAAGCCATAGAAGCCTAAACAGGTCAGCTTGTTTTCTCATCCTTCTTGTTTTTTTCTTCGTTTATTTCTCTTCAGGTTGGTTAATGGAGTGTTGCTGGTTAAGTCCAAAACTCCCTCTGAGATAAGAGTGATTTGGCAGTTACTTATCAGTTTGTTGACAGTATTCGCTTATATGTTATTTATAATATTTGTATTGGGTTTACTTGCTTGCTTGCTTGTTGTTTTGCTGATGTATTTTTGTTGGGCTTGGCCTCATGTAAGCCACCCTGAGTCCCCTTGGGGAGATGGTGGCGGGGTATAAATAAAGTATTATTATTATTATTATTATTATTATTATTATTATTATTATTATTATATTGTTTTGCTATAAAGAATAGCCTCCTAAGGAAGACATAACATTGGTCTGTGTGTTTTTGTTTTTTTTATCACTTCGTGCTACTGGGGCGGGGTCACACTGCTGTTGATAAGTTACTCTGCTATACATTCACAGGGAGGGTCTTTTGTTAATAAGCCCACCTGCCTAGCAGGTGGGACCGAGAGTAGGGCCTCTTCCGATGACTGCAGTGTCTGAGCTGGTACATAAGAGGAGATGTGGTTGGACAAATAGCCTGGACCTGAGCTGTTTAGGGCTTTAAAGGTAATGACCAGCCCTTTGTATCTAGCCCGGAAGCAGACTGGCAGCCAGTGGAGCTGCTGCGACATGGGAGTGATTTTCTACCTGTACGGCACTCCTATTACCGACTTGGATGCTGATCTTTGTACTAACTGAAGCTTCCAAACTGTCTTCAAAGGCAGCCCCACGTAGAGAGCACTGCAGTAGTCCAAAAAGAATGTGGCTAAGGCATGAACTATCATGGCCAAGTCTGGTGTCTCAAGGTACAGATGCAGCTGGCATACAAGTTTTAACTGTGCAAAGGTGCTCTTGGCCACCGCCGACAGAGTTAGCGATGAATCCAGATCACCTCCAAGCTGCGAACCTGCGTCTTCAGTGGGAGTGTGACCCTGTCCAACACAGGCTGTAGCCCTATACCCTGTTCTGCGTTACAACTGACCACAAGCACCTCTGTCTTGTCTGGATTTAGTTACATCTTGTTTGCCCTCATCCAGTCCATTACTGGTGACAGGCACTGCTTTAGGACTAGGACAGCATCCTTGGTATTGGATGGAAAAGAGTAATGGAGTTGGGTGTCATCTGTGTAAATTTGGCACCGAACTCCAAAACTCCGGATGATCACTCCCAGTGGTTTCATGTAAATGTTAAACAGCATTTTACAGAATTGAGCCCTGAGGGACCCCACAGGCCACTGGTCAGAGTTGAACAGGAGTCCCCCAGCTCCACTATTTGAGTTTGGCCTTGCAGGAAGGACCAGAGCCATTGTAAAACAGTGCCCCCAAGCCCTATCCCAGAGAGCCATCCCAGAAGGATACCATGGTATTTTAGGTGGTCAGATCTTTTTCTCATGCAAACTACACAAATGCCATGGCATACATATTTGTTGTTCGTTCATTCAGTCGCTTCCAACTCTTCATGACTTCATGGACCAACCCACACCAGAGCTCCCTGTCACCTGTCGCCACCCCCAGCTCCTTCAAGGTCAAGCCAGTCACTTCAAGGATGCCATCCATCCATCCATCTTGTCCTTGATCGGCCCCTCTTCCTTTTTCCTTCCATTTGCCCCAGCATCATTCTCTTCTCCAAGCTTTCCTGTCTTCTCATTATGTGGCCAAAGAACTTCATCTTTGCCTCAAATATCCTTCTCTCCACTGAGCATACATATATTTAACTTAATAATCTCCTTACCTCAGTGTCAAGAGAAAAGCAAGGACACACAGTGCCTGTCCCAGAAGTTCTGGGCTGAGATGGTCACTTTCCACCATGGATAACAGGATCTCCGTGCACTCTTTGTACCCAGCACTCAGTGGTGGAAAAGGATGATTTTGAAACAGGGGCTCCCCGTGGAGATGCACAAAAGCCTCCAGGTACAGTTTCAGAAGCACACAGTTGGTCTCGCCTTTCAGCACCTCTTCGAGATTCTCCTAATTGACAGGAGAGAAAGAGGTTTCGAGTCAGAAGAAAGCACCATACAGGTCATGTTAAAAGAGACACCAGGGAAAGAGAAAGAGAAAGAGAGAGAGAGACTCAGAAGTGACAGAGAATGAGAAGGGTGTTTAGAGATCTCTCAGGTGGGTAGCTTTTGTAATGCATCTGGCTCTGCAATGGACAAAGTGAAGGTGCTCCCCAGAAAGAAAAAAAACCAGTTTGCCTATTGGATCCCATTGGTTGTTTTAACCAATAGCCCGCTCTTGCTTGCTTTTGTGTTGAGCTGATTTCTGTAGCGGGAGGGGCTTTTCTGTTCCATGCTCCCGAAAAAATGAAAGACACGAAAGAAATGAAGGAAACGGGATAAACAAATTCTGCGCACAACTCTAATATATACACTCCACTTTTCTCATTTCCAACAGACCTCTGAACAAGCCTCTTCAGATGCCTGCCACAGATGAAGGTGAAACATCAGGAAAGAATGCTACTGGAACATGACCAGACAGTCCAAAAAAACATACAGCAACCCTGTGATTCCGGCCATGAAAGTCTTCGACAACACAAAGCTGTATCTGTTTGTACACTGATATCCAGAACACTCTGTTTAAATGTTTATTTTGTTCCATATAATGTCGCATCATTTCAAAAGGTCCTTCAGACGTTTTAGACCTCAGCTCCCAGAATTATTATTAATAATAATCTATATAAATTAAAATGTAATGTTTGTTTGTGGGATTAACATAGCTCAAAAACCACTGGATGAATGACATGAAATTTGGACACAAACACCTATCAGGCCAACAAGTGACCATCACTCATAAAAACACTGAAAAACACAGCAGAAGGCACTTAAAAAGCCTAAAAAGCAAAAAGATGCTACAGTGCATGCACAAAAAGAACTCCCCCTGGCAAACAAAACACACAATAGCATATCCACACTCTCTTCCCAGCATCCCCTAGACCAGGCCCTTTAGGGGAGGAGGCGGATCCAAATGCACTGCTTCCAAGCTGCAAGCCTTCTTCTCCTTTGGTTTCTTTGAGAGCATCCCAATCCCTGCATATTTCCAATTTCCTATTCCTGGACTGCAACTCCCAGCAATCCTCCAGATAAATAAGATAGATAGATTAGACAGAGGTAGGAAGGTAGATTGATCAGGAGGATTGCTGGGAGTTGCAGTTCAAGAATAGGTAGAGAGGGAAGAAAGGGGAGAAAGAGAAAAAGGAAAGAAAAGAGGGGAGGAAGGGAAGAGGAAGAGAAGGAAGGAAGGAAGGAAGGAGAGAGAGAGAAAAAGGAGAGAAAGCGGGAGGTAAGATTGGCCACAGCAATGCATGGCAGGTACAGCTAGTAGTAGTAGTAGTAATAATAATAACAATAGTAATAATAATCATGATAATAACAACTTTATTTTTATCCCGCCCTATCTCCCTGGAAGAGGGGGGAGGGGGTTCCTGACCATTGGTTAAATCAGTTAGAACTTTGGGCAGTTGAAGTCCAAAACAGCCGGAGGAGCACAGTTTGAAAACCAGGGGGAGGGCTATCCTCATGTGACCCTCAGGGTTGGCCTCATGTGAGCGATAGCTCTGTTTTCCTCTCCTGTGAGTTGGATGCTGATGCCAGGACTCACCAGTAGTGTTAGCTGCAGGCCTTTGCCGAGCTCCAGTCCTGTTCTTTCCTCCTGATCATTAACCCACATCAAGATGGCTACTTGCACGTCAACATTCCCCCTTCGAAGGAACCAGCAAAGTTTGCTGACTCTTTTGGGACATCCCAGCCTGGCTGCCTCCTGGCAAAGGAAGTGGGCACCGACTTGGTAGAAGGTAGTCAAACCCACCTGGGACAGAAAAACAAAAGAAGCTATGATCTCACAGAGATGTTGCAAGGAAGAGAAAAGGGAACTGAGCTGTAAGCTCCATGGAGGGCGATAATGAGACACATAAATGCCTTCTTCCTCAAAATGTGCAATGCAAACTGATGCAGATCCCTCACTGAGGTAAGTCTATTTCCCTAGGGTATTTTGACAATAGGGCAAATCCATACTTTCTAATGGCTGGTTTACTATCTACCTCCGAACTCAAGAACGGAAAACGGTATGTTGGTGGACAGGAAAAGAGATTTAAAGATGGGCTTAAAGCCAACCTCAAAAACTGTGGCATAGACACCGAGAACTGGGAAGCCCTGGCCCTTAAGCACTCTCACTGGAGGTCAGCTGTGACCGGCAGTGCTGCAGAATTCAAAAAAGCACGAATGGAGGGCAAAAGAGAGAAATGTGCCAAGAGGAAGGCACGTCAAGCCAACCGCCACCAGGACCGCCTTCCGTCTGGAAACTAATGTCCTCACTGTGGGAGAGCATGCGGATCAAGAATAGGGCTCCACAACCACAATCGGACCCACCGCCAAGACACCACATCTGGAAGACAATCATCCTTGAGCTATGAGGGATCACGTAAGTAAGTAAGTAAGTAAGTACTATCTACCCTTTGGAGAAGCCTTAAAGTACTTTGTCCCTCTCCTAGCTTCACTTTCGGTTAGTGGTTTGTGTGGAATGCATTTCATCTGTCCATTCTGTCCCATCAATGATTGAGATCCACAAAACCGTAGGCTAAATCACGTCACCTTAAAGGTACTGCTAGATCCTCCCCAAAAGACTTTATCACACGAGACTAATAGAGCGCAATTATGGCAGGATAAAAAGCCCTTTTGGTTACGTGTTATTGCCCAGCATTGTGACTTCCCTGAATCGCATTGCACTTGGATGCGAAGTGGAAAAACCTGCCAGTGAATCCAATACCTCTGTTGTTCGGCCACTTCTCCCTGCATGTAACTTTCCTTCTGCTGCAGTCCTGATATTGCAAAGCAGAGGAAGTTCTTGCAGAAATGTCGCAATTGTGCAATTGCCACAAAACAGACCCAAAAACCTATCATACACTGGTAGAAAGAACACAAGTAGGGAGAGCAACTATATATGGAAGACTGATTGCGGGAATTTGCATCCCCTAAATGTCATCTTAGTGCAGGAACTGTCTTCATAGACCTGTCAGCAGCTTATGATACTGTAAATCATTGCCTCCTTGTGAGAAAAATGTATAATATCACAACTGTATAATATCACAAAGGATTACAGAGATACTCACAGAAACACTTCAGCAAGTGAGAGTCCAAAAGTGGCAGGCGAAAACCCAGAATCTCAATCAGTGGCTGAGACCGGATGAGAAGACTGGGCGACTTGGAAGGGGCTGAACTGACTGTGCTCTGGCACTATGAGATGCAAAGCTAACTTTAAGAAATGGGCTACAAAGTGGAGTCCATGACATGCGAGTGCGGAGAAGAGCAAACCACAGACCACCTATTACAATGCAACCTGAGCCCTGCCACATGCACAATGGAGGATCTTCTTACAGCGAGACCAGAGGCACTTCAAGAGGCCAGCTTTTGGTCAAAGGACATTTACTATAATGCCAGGTTTTTAACTCTGTTTGTGGTTTTTCTATACATTATAACTGTGTTCTCAATTCACTTCTGACACGACAAACAAATAAATCTTAGTGCGATTGCAGTAAGGTGCGAAAGGCATTGTTGTAATAATGGTATGTTTCCATTTGGTGTGATAACAGTCTTAAAACCCCTTTCCTTTTTGGTAGTTGGCAATCAGAGGTACCTGAACTGGAGAGTTGCTGCCTTTTTCTTGGAATTGACAGTCAGCTAATTCAGAACTCACAATCTTCCAAACCTGTTGGGCAAAACTTTGGGAACAGCTTCCCATCAGTAGGGAGATGACTTGGAGATAGACTGTGCGGACCAAGTGACATCGCTGCAGCCTGGTGAGAAGCCAGAGATGGTCTTCCATCTGACAAGTGATGGTGAGTAAGGCATCAGAAGAGAGACTAAAAGGAATTTAAAAAACACAGCCCGTTAAACCGCTAACTGCAGGAAAACTTGCTGACCAGAAAGATGACAGTTTGAAGCCGTGGGTTGAGGTGAGCTCCTGCTGTTAGCCCTAGCTTCTGCCAACCTAGCAGTTTGAAAACTTGCAATGTGAGTAGATCAATCGGTACCGCCTTGATGGGAAGGTAAAAAGCACCCATGCTGCCAGGCCGGCAACAGGACCAGGAGGGTCTATGGACAGACAACAGGTTCCTTGGCATGGAAAATGGAACAAGAGCACTCCCCCACTATGGCCAGAATTGAGCACTGCCTCCAGACACCGGAGTTGGAAAGTGAAACCTTTGCTTTATTTGTGTATTTGTGTCATTGTTCACTGTATAAAAGGCATTGAATGTTTGCCTATAGATGTGTATGCTGTGATCTGCTCTGAGTCCCCTTGGGGAGATAAGAGCAGGATATAAATAAAGTGTATTATTATTATTATTTCTGCAAAAGGTTAGCCTTCAACCCTTTCATCAGAAAGGAAAGACAACAACTTTTAATTCTGTACCCATTTCTTGGCCCGGCCATAGTTTTTACTGTGTTATGGTTTAATGTTTTGTTGTTATTGCTTATGTTTTGATTTTGCTTGAATTGTTTGTTATGCTGTTGTTGTGTTGAGGCCTTGGCCTTTGTAAGCCGCATTGAGTCCCTCGGGAGATGCTAACGGGTTACAAATAAAGTTTAATAATAATAATAATAATAATAATAATAACAACAACAATTCCTTGTATCCTCCAGGAGAGCCTGTTTTCCTCTAAAATCAAATACATCCCACCTGTGTCCTGTTTTAAATGAACTGCTGACAATGTTTTAATGTTGCAGTGTGGATGTAAATGATAGCGTTCCTAGGAAAGCCCCTTACCAGTTCACCCGCAGAGCCCGCGTTAGCAACGCCAGGATTTGCAGCAGACATCCATGCAGTGCATTATGAGACAGCATATCCTCAGGTTGTGGCAAATGGGAGGTCAGTTGCAAGAGGACCTTTCCATAGTTACTCCGAGGGACTAGAGGCAGCAAGGCCCGGGCCGCCATTTTCCGCACAGCGTAAATGGGGTTTCCTGAAAGCTGGATCAGAGACTCCAGGAAGCAAATGGAATCGCTGGGAAACAAAACAAGCAAGAACTTGAATGCTGAAGGATACAAAGATGGGCAGCTTTTCCTGCAATAATAGCTGACAATACTTGCAGCAAAGAGCCCAGTTCCATCCTTGCAGCCCAGGACTTCATTTTGTTTAGAAACAGGTCTAAATAGTGTTTAGGACCAGTATGGGACTAACGTACTGGGGCGTAATGTGCCCAATCTTAAGGAATTGGTTTCCCACAGAAACACAACCTTTCTTGGATAGGAACGACATGAAATGTGTGTATAAGGAATTGTATGAGAACAAAAGGCTTCTCAAAACATGCTGCGTTGAATATTCCTGGGACAGTGACCCCCCAGTCAGCAGCATCAATGCTTCCTTGCCTACCTGTTTGGCACGTCTGCACTCGGCTGCAGTTTGGCCAGGAAGGTAAGGATGGCATAGAGTGAGGGGTACAAGCACAGTTTCCCTCTCTGAGTCCCTCCGGTTACAGCTGAGGTCAATTCTTCAAGCAGAATGCCCCTCAGCTGAGGATAGGAGCTGAAAAAGGCTTCGGAGCTCAGCCCTTCTTGGCTAGCGCTGTCTTCCCGCGTTCGCTTTTGGCCCAGAAGACGAACCGTCAAGGCGCCTGAGGGGAAGAGACAAATTCTGTTAGAAATGGACGAGACAAGAGAAGAAGAAAAAACATTAGTCTGTTGCTACCTGGACTCTAGCCCACAGATTCATTGGCCCTGATCAATATACCATGAGAAGGAAAGGTTATGAAAGCACTCACCAAAGAGCTGGATGGCTGCATTTCTCATGGCCCAGCTGGGGGAGCTGAGGGCCTGGAGCAGCAGTGTCAACATGGGGGCAATGTATTTGTGGAGAGCTGTTCCAAGCCCCGAACCACGGACCAGCGTCTGCAAGACATGCACCGCTGAGACCTACATGGGGGAAACCAGAAGGGATGACCCAAGCATTTTGGAGCTGGTGTTGATTTTTTGGAGGCCTTTGCCTCGGTTCTGAATTACACTGAGAACATGATCACCAACTGGTTTGGCACAGTGTGAAATAGGTAGCAAATAGTGAAGAACAGGAAGGATGTTTGCCTTTACTTTCCAGACTGAATGCATCCTACCAGATGTTCAGATGTGTCAGCCTCTGGTACCAGACCTGATCATTGTAAAATGGGATTGAAGGCCAAGTAATAATAAATAATAATAAAACTTTATTTATACCCCACCACCATCTCCCCAAGGGGACTCAGAGCGGCTTACATGAGGCCAAGCCCAACAACACATCAGTAAAAACAACAAGCAATACGCAAATAAAACAATACAATTAATATAACTCAACATATAGACAATAACATGCAAGGGTTTAAAAACCTATGGCCGGGCCAGATGTTTAAAATTTTAAAATAAACGCTGGGCATGAACAGAGGTGGTAGGATGTATCTAGTAGGAGGGTTTTAAAAGAAATGTAGGGAGAACAACACAACGGATAGTTAAAGTGCTTCTGAGGACATTTTGCAGGGAATTATTTCCTTTATTCAGGGAAGGCACACTGGAACAGCCACATTTTCAGGCTCCTCCTAAAGACTGCCAATGTGGGGGCTTGCGTGATATCCTTGGGAAGTGAGTTCCAGAGTCGGGGGGCCACCAAAGAGAAGGCCCTCTCCCTCGTCACCACCAATTGCGCCTGCAAAAGGGGCGAGAGCGAGAGCAGGGCCTCCCCAGATGATCAAAGAGATTGCGTGAGTTCGTACACCGAAATGCGGTCATGCAGGTAGGCGGGTCTCAAACCGTTCAGGGCTTTGTAGGTAAGAACCTGCACCTTGAATTGGGACCGGAAGATGAACGGCAGCTAATGGAGCTCCTTAAGCAGGGGAGTTGACTACTCCCTGTAAGTCGCTCCAGTTAGTAACCAGTTAGTAACCTGGCTGCCGCCCGCTGGACCAACTGAAATTTCCGTCTTCAAGGGCAGCCCCACGTAGAGTGCTGGAGAACCACTGGTGGTTTTCAACCCAAGGATTGGCCATATTGGGTTGGGTCGAAGTTGGGAAAGAGAGAGGGAATTACTTCACTTTGGGACTGGGAAGAAACTCCAAATCTGCCCCCCTCCCCCAACACCTGTGCCTTTTTGGGGGTGAAAAGTCTGGATAACACTTCAGGCATTACAGTCCATGAATTCAAATGCAATTCTGATTCTGATCTATAAGTTCAGGTGATCTAAAAAAAATCTTTATGACCTTTATGAGCTTTTCCTCACCCCCCCCCCCCCCCCCCAATTCCAAGGAAAATGGAGGGACTAAAAATGTCAGATTGTGCCCAAAGCCTCCACAGGTTTTTATTTGTCATTCTGGGCAGTTTTAGGTTTGTTCTCGGCCTGAGGAGCGCCTCCTTGCAAAACTGGAAGTGACTGGCTCTTAATAACCTTTTTAAGGATCTGGGAGTGTCATGAAATATATGATATATATGCACCAGGACTGTGGAGCAGCGGGCTGGGAGTCAGCTGTATTAAGATAAGATCACTACTGACCAAAAGGTCATGAGTTCAAAGCCAGCCCTGGTCGGAGTGAGTTTCTGACCATTGTGTAGCTTGCTGTCGACCTTTGCAGCCCAAAAGACAGTTGCATCTGTCAAGTAGGAAATTTAGGTACTGCTTATGCGGTGAGGCTAAATTAACTAATTTATGATGCCATAAAATCTCCAGCAAGCAAGCAAATGAGGAAGTACTCAATTAGTGTCACAAATGGACAGTGAAGCGACAGCTCCCCTGGTAGCCAGAATACCTGCATGTCTATATATGTTGTGTGTCTATGGCACTTAATGTTTGCCATGTGTATGTACATTGTAATCCGCCCTGAGTTCCTTGTGGGGTGAGAAGGGCGGAATATAAATACTGTAAATAATAAACAAATAAAATAAATATACGATTTGGAATGGAATTGTATGAAAGGTGAATGAATGAGACTCAATAATTTTAGAGACACCATTCTAAAATATTGAGGCCTGGAAAACAACTACACTCAGGAACTGTAATTAGAAGTTGCTGAACTGCTGACATTGATAAGCGCTGTAACAATGATTAACTGTTGAACTTTTGGGGAAAAACGTGTTCACATAGTCAGAGACAACAGCTCTTTAAGTTAAGGAAATGTTTACAAGGTTCTTTATGTCAAGAAGGAAGTCAACACAAGGCTTGCGTTTACCAACACCAAAGTCAATATCTGCCAGGAAACTGAGATGAAGCCTGGATGTTTCAGGTTGGAAAAACATCTGTCATTCATTTACAACTTTGGAACAACATCAGCAGAAATATTCTTATAAAAAACTCAATCTAATAATTCTCAAGCGTGACAGACAGCAGTGCTGCTCACCCACCATGCTCTATGGAGAGAGATGGTGTGCTTTGAAGAGTGTCAGATCTGCAATGGGAAAGCAAGATTCTGGACACTTGCCTCCTTTTCTCAAGGGTAGAGAAAAGAGTGCAATTTTGGAGGCATTGTTCCTAGGGAATGAGGATGCATTTTGGCATTTTAGGAGTTTTGGAAGTGTTGGAAAAGTGGTAGATTTGCAAGGAAGCAGTCTGGCCTAAGAGATGTTCTCCTCCAGGAGACAGCAGGAGAATGGTGATAGATGCATGAGAATGAATGTGTATGGGCAATGTGAATGCTGAGTAAAAATGTAATTCCCCTTTGTTTGTTTGTTAGCCAATGTAACTGAAGGTTGTTTGTGGATTCAATGTAGTTTCATGCTGGCCACATGACCATGGAGGTGTCTACAGACAACGCTGGCTCTTCGGCTTAGAAATGGAGATGAACACCAATCCCCAGAGTTGGACATGACTAGACTTAATGTATGGCTGTATGTCAAAATGTTGTTCTGTAAAAGTTCTGATACCCTTTCTCTTACTGGAAAATTGCAATAAAAAGAACCTATTCCCCTTGGTGGCTCAGCGGGTTAAACTGTTGAGCTGCTGAACTTGGTGAATGAAAGGTTGGTGGTTCGAATCCAGGAAGTGGGGTTTGCTCCCGCTGTGAAGCCCAGCTTCTGCCAACCTAGCAGTTCAAAAACATGCAAATGTGAGTAGATCAATAGATACCACTTCTGCGGGAAGGTAATGGTGCTGCATGCAGTCATGCTGCCCACATGACCATGGAGGTGTCTACAGACAATGCTGGCTCTTCGGCTTAGAAATGGAGATGAACACCAATCCCCAGAGTTGGACATGACTAGACTTAATGTCAGGGGAAACCTTTACTTTAAAGTTATAGAAATGTTATTCATAACAGGAGTGCAGGAGCCTGAAATGGTTCAACAAGCAAAGCAGGGATAGTCTGTGCTTATAGCAATAAAACAACATGTTTATGGATTGCTGTGAGTTTTCCGAGCTGTATGGCCATGTTCCAGAAGCATTGTAAAAGTGGAGACCCATCTCCACTTTTACAATGGCACAGGTCTCAATGGTTTTTGTTGCAAGGGGTCAAGGTGGTGACCAGTTTGAGAATGAATTTCTGGACAGGTTCTTCTGGCTTCCTTACCTGAGGCAGGTCCACTGTCTGGTCCCAGTTGCAGGGAAGAGGCTCACTGGCCAAGGCCAACAATGTCTTCACACAACTCGCCAAAAGAGGCCGCGACTTGGTGGGGTCTTCTCCAGCTACGATGCAGAGGAAGAGCATTGGGAAACCAGCTGCCCTGCGAGTAATGGACCTGCTTCTGGGGCTCCTTAACAACACCAAGCCCTAGGGAAAGAGAAACAAATGGAAGGAGCGAGCCTGTTGTCTCTCCAGATATCACAGACCTGCAAGAAAGCCTGCTGGCACAGTTGTTGGCCAGGGTTTCTGGCAGTTGAGGTTCAAACAATCATTTCGGGAAACCCAAACCTCTGAGGGAAGCCAAGGGAGCCCAGAGATAGTGTTAGCTTGAGATGGAAATGACTTCAAGGCATGCAACAAGGTCAAGCTTCACTGCTAAGCATTGACTTGGGAAGTGGTAATGGCACAGTCCCATGTTTGTTTGTTTTTTATTTATTTACTGTATTTATATATTGACTTTGTCACCCCTGGGGGGACTCAAGGCGGTTTACAACATACTAATGGCAAAAATTCAATGGCAACACACAGTACACAAAGAACACATAATAACTAATTACTACATATAACTATGAATGTAAAATCAATTAAAACCATTAAATGTTATTATTTATTATTTATTTACGACATTTATATGCCACCCTTCTCACCCCGAAGGGGACTCAGAGCGGCTTACAAGGTATATATACATACAATATATTATATTATTAGCATGGTACAATATCAGTTTTAAATATTGCTACATTGAACTATATCAATTATATTGTAATATTATTAGTAATATTACATGTAACATAAACATATAATTATAATATCATATTATTATTATTATTATTATTATTATTAGTAGTAGTAGTAGTAGTAGTATTATATTGCATTACATTAATGGATAAGACATAAGACATACATAAAATTTAAACATTCATACAAAGCATAAAATCATACTAGTATAAACATTAAAATCCCATGATCCAGAAATCATATACTGTAGCCATTCCGAATTCTCATTGCACATGTTCCTTAATTATTCTTTGTGCATATGCAAAAACAACTCTAGTACCTGGGTTTGCATTGTCTCTGGGATAGCTTGCAGTTCTTGGTCCGGATGCCTGAGCAAAGCAGTGCAGAATTTAGTGAATCCCATGCTGCAGCCCTCCACTGCGCCCTGGAATGAGAAAGAGTGGAGCATTTCTTTCCTATGTAGCGATCCAATGTCATTCTCAATGTTCAAGAAGGAATTAAAAGAATGTGTGGGCAGAGACACAAAAGCAGATGTTGCCTATTTTAATGTTATGTTTAAAAAAAAGCTTGGTCTTACCCAGTGACGGCACTTCAGCAAGGTATCCTGGAAGATCTCGGCAGCCAGATGGACCACCTGAAGTGGCAGGAGTTGTCCGCAGTCTCCAGGTGGCGCTAGTGGCAAAACCTTCTCAATGAGGCCTCCCAAGAGCAGCCCAATTTCCTTGGTAGTTAAAAATAAAGGCATCAGATTGGGAGTAAAAAAAAATCTAACAAATATCAAAGCTGTTGCTTCTCCTTCCCTGGTAGAGCTAGATCCAATGCCTCCAATTCCCCAAAAGCAGTGGTTCTCAACCCGTGGGTCCCCAGGTGTTTTGGCCTACAACTTCCAGAAATCCCAGCCAGTTTACCAGCTGTTAGGATTTCTGGGAGTTGAATGCCAAAACATCTGGGAACCCACAGGTTGAGAGCCACTGCCCAAAAGCATCATAAGACCTCACTCTGTACAAATCTCTCCAAGAAAACACCAGGATAGAGTCACCATAAGTTGGAAATGGCATGAAGATACGCAATAAACAATACAGGAAGAATGGGCAGTGCCAGGGGTGGGTTGGAACTAGGCTGTGGCACAACTAGTTAGGAGCCAGCTGCATTAAATCACTACTGTCCGAGAGGTCATGAGTTTGAAGCCAGCCCGGGTTGGAGTGAGCTCCCAGCCACTAATAGTTTAGCTTGCTGTTGACCTATGCAGCCTGAAAGACAGTAGCATCTGTCAAGTAGGAAATTTAGGTACCACTTTATGCAGGGAGGCTAATTTAACTAATTTACGACGCCAAAAAACCTTCCAGCAGCGTGCAGAAGGATGAGGAAGTACTCCATCAAAGGACTCGGTGTCACAAGTGGACGGTGAAGCGGCAGCTCACCCTGTGGCCAGAATCGAGCAAACCCTCATGAAGCCAGAAAAAGGTGGAATGTTAAATTGCCTCTGTGTCTGTCTATATATGTTGTATGTCTAAATAGCATTGAATGTTTGGCATGTATATGTGCATTGTAATCTGCCCTGAGTCCCCTGTGGGGTGAGAAGGGTGGAATATTAAATACTGTAAATAAATAAATAAACAAATAACCTACAGAACAAGAAGCCAGGGTCTCCTGGCATCTCCCCAACTATGCCCCATTCTAGTCTTGCTCACTTTCACGGAGACCCAGCAACAGGTGAGGATGAGACTGTGTTCCTCGGAAAGCAGGACCGAATCTTCCTCCAGTGCCTCTGGCGATCCCCACTCCTTCCCAAGTTGGATGAGGGACCCGATTGCATTGCCCATGTCTGCAAAGGAAGGTGCTGAGGCTGCAAGGAGACCATGGGAGACTTAGTGAGCTGTAAGCGAAGGAGAATTCCTTGGAAAACCAATAATAATAATAATCATCATCATCTTTATTTCTACCCCGCCACCATCTCCCTGATGGGGAATCGGAGCGGCTTACATGGGGTCAAGCCCGGACAACATAATACAGCAATAAAATCAAAGCATATACAACAAACAACAACAACATTATCAAAATAACATTTTAAAAAATCATAAAATAAACATTCCAATAAACACAATCACGGTAGTGATAACAATGGACGGGCCACATATTCAGGGTAAAAACAGTTAACAAACTATGATGAGATAAAATAGGAGCAGGACGTTTATATGGAACTCATAAAACACAAAGAGTTGTGAGGCTAAACATCCTATTTGGAAGGCACCAATCGCTTCTCCCGCATCTGTAACTACAACCAGACATTTTAGTGGGCCAGGGGTGGGGACAGTGTGATGTGTGGCCCCTGAACCCCTCAAGACAAAACTATCTAAATTAAAAGAGATATCTTTCTGTGTGCTTTGAGTGCAATTTTTGCTCTGAAGCCATACAGAAAGTGTTGGAAATAGCAACTTTCTTCAAGCCTCTACTAGTTAATTATTATGTATATAATTCAGATTGCTTACTCCTCGCAACCGCTGAGGATGTCTGCCATAGATTCAGGCGAAATGTCAGGAGAGCGTGCTTCTAGAACATGGCCATACAGCCCGAAAAACCTACAACAACCCAGTGATTCTGGCCGTGAAAGCCTTCGACAGCTTACTATATTGTATATATGTGTATTGGTATGAAGTTTTTCTTTAACTCTTTGTTGTGGGAGGGGCTGCAGACCATGTGATCAGATCTGGGCTTGGTTAGGGCTCAGACTTCATTTTAGGAACAGTTTTGCTTTAGACTTCAGTAGGAACAGTATGCTTAGAGACCCTATTGGACTTTCAGACTAGACTGAGACTCTGTTAGATTCTCGGAACAGAGAGATGCTTTAGATTATGGGCTGTTGATTCTAAGAAAGATGCCCTGTGTTACCTACACAGAGAAACTACGTCAAATCTACTTGTAACAGGATTGATATGCAAAGTACCTGTATGCTAAATACATGAAGTTTGTGAGTAAACCAACTATGTTGCTTTTAAAGAAGTCTGCTTATTTTTGTCTCTTGAGAGTGTGATTTAAACCAAGATGTTCTAAGGGAGAGTAGATGTTTATGGGCAACTAAAAAGAACACTTTTGAAACTCTGCAGTATATATATATGTGTGTGTGTGTTTTGTGCATTGGCATATTTTGTCCCTAACAGTTCAAAGCCATACCTAAGTACATCAGTTTAACAGCTGAGAAACCTAATTGCCTTGCATGAATGCCATTTTCCCAAAAGGTTATGGCATCATTTTTCAAAAAGTTGTGACTAATAACAAGGTCATGCCTTTCCAAAGATCATAAAATCTCCAAAAGGTTATGGAGATTTTCATTTTCCAAAATAAAGCAACCCAAGTGTACGAGAGTGCATCAAAATAACCCTACCTTGCCTTATTACTCCAGGATTCCATATGCCCCCCCTCCCCCTCCAAATACCCGTTTTGCTCTGTAGTCCCAAATTGCAATAGGAAGTGATACAAAGTCACACCTGATTGGTCTGTGCTTGATGACGGCTTCCCTTGTAACATGCCCAGGAGAAAGCTGTTGATGTCCTTGGCGGTATTCACCAAGTCATTGAGGAACGCTTGCCAACGTGGTGCCAGCTGCAACCTCCGCATAGAGTCCAGCACTTCTGGGACCTCGAGTAGACATCGCCGTAGAGCCAAAACCACACCTACGGGGGACCCAACACTCCGGCTACCAAGTGGTGAACTTCCACAACTGTCGTTCCTTGTTTGGAACCATCTCTGATCAATTAACAACAAAATAAATAGGAAACAAAATGTACTAATTTTCATTAGGGGCCGTGGTTGGTGCAATGGGTTAAACCCTTGTGCTGCTGAACGGCTGACCAGAAGGTCGGCAGTTTGAAGCCGTGGATCAGGGTGAGCTCCTGCTGTTAGCCCTAGCTCCTGCCAACCTAGCAGTTCAAAGACATGCAAATGTGAGTAGATCAATAGCGGGAAGGCAATAAAGCGGGAAGGCAATAAAGGCACCCATGCAGCCATGCCGGCAACACGACTAGGAGGGGCCTACGGACAACAGACTCCTCGACTTGGAAAGGGAACAAGAGCACCTCCCCATGGCCAGAGTGAGCACAGCCTCCAGGCGCTGGAGATGAATGGAAAAGCCTTCACCTTTGTTCTGTGTATTTGTGTGTCATTGTTATTTCACTGTATTAAAGGCACTGAATGTTTGCCTATCTGTGTATGTTGTAATCCGCTCTGAGTCCCCCCAGGGAGATAGAGTGGAATATAAATAAAGTGTTATTATATTTTTATATTACTCAGAAACACCCAAATCCCAGCAGTCATAGCACAGCCAATGGCGAGGAACACTGGGAGTTGCTGTCCAACAACATCTTGAAAGCCACATGAGATGCACCGCTGGTCTCTATGTTCTTCTGTTCTAACCCTTCACAACCAATCAGCATTTCCACTCCCTTCTCTGAAGTTGCTTAGGTACAATACTAGTACTGACCATGGATTGGTGTGGTGCAGGCAGCTTGCAACAAGTTCTGGCGAGCAATGGCAAAATGGTCATGCAGCACCCTGAAAAGATGCTCAAGGAAACAGAGGCATTGGCCTTGCTCCCCCAGCTCCTCCTCGGCTGCTGGGAATAGCTGTCTCAAAGCACAGACATCTAATCTGAGGAGACAAAGGACACAACAGAAACGGTGACCAACTGCTCCCTCTGAGCAGAACGAAATGTGTATGGCTGTAACACATTTCCAGCAGGGATGGGGGTACTGGATAACAAGGGAAATAATCACTCCCAAAGGTGTGACAGAGAACAAAGTGGCAACATTTTACTTTTGAAGGATGGTTTTCATCAACACGGCCCCTGATTCTGCCTCCTGAACCCGGGGGCTGCTGATGGCTTCTTGGGCCTGCTGAAACAGTGCGACAGTAATGGATGTCGGGAAAGCTGGTGGGAAGTAGCAGACAAGCAGCTCTGATGCCAATTCGCGGATCTGCAGAAAAACAGAAGAGAGGGAGAGACTGCTAAACCAAAAAATATTTTTGAGCTGTGGATGACTGAATCTGTGGATGCAGAACACAGAGGGCCCAGCTGTATTTGCATATTACTTATTGTCAATCTTACTTATTGACTAGGGGAACATACCCTTAAATTCCCAAAGAAAAGGAAACCTTTGGTCCCATTTCTGGACCCAGTACCTCATTCGTACTGTCCTGCAAACAGCTCAGCAATGTCAGCGTGTTGGCTTGGCAAAAATAATCCCAGCAGCCCTTGCTTCTGGCCCAGTTTAGGAGCATGGCCATATTGCCTGCAAAAAGCACATTACACAGAGGGGTGAAGGAAGTGGAGGGAGAAAGGAACTGTACTTGAAAACATCAAGGCCTGAGGTGTGCGCTCCCAAGGAAGGTCTGCCTGGTACCCTCTTTGGAAGCATTAAAATGCTGGGAGTTACAGCAGTCTGATTCCACTTTAGCTGTGGTAGTTCCACCCTATGGGACCCTCAGATTTGTAGTTTAGTACTTGTGTGTAAATTCAGGGAGGTGAATGAGAGACTTCGGCACAACCCCAACAATCCCGCATGGCCCCATTCCCAGATTTTGGTCAACCGTCGAGCACAAAAGGACTCACGTGGAGGCTGTCCCTTCTTCCGCTCTGGACTCCATGTGTCAGTACAGGTTTCCATCACAGCTGTCAACAGAAGGAGGGAGGTTTTCCTCCGCTGGTAGTTGGACCCTGGCGTCACAGAGGACAGGCAGAGCTGCATCAGCCACTCAACGAAATCTAGATTGAGAAAAAAATTGGGATTTTTTTCATGGTGTGCAAAGCAGGATGAGGGAAGAGGGGATAGGGGATAGGGAAAAGGCAGAACTACTTAATGCCTTCTTTGCCTCAGACTTCTCACAAAAAGAAAGCCGTTCTCAACCTCAGCAACATGAAATGGACAAAGGATTAGGGGAAATCCAACCCCAAATAGGGAAACAAGTGGTTCATGAATACCTGGCCACTCTAAATAAATTCAAGCCCCCAGGATCAGATCAAATACATCCAAGAGTATTGAAGGAACTAGCGGAAGTCATTTTGGAACCACTGGCAATCATTTTGGAGAGTTCTTGGACAATGGGACAAGTCCCAGCAGATTGGAGGAGGGTGAATGAGGTCCCTATCTATCTTCGAGAAGGGAAAAAAGGATGACCGAAACAATTACAAATGTTAGGTCAGCCTCATGTCGATACCAGGCAAGATTCTGGAAAAGATCATTAAGGAAGTGGACTGCAAACACTTAGAAATGAATGTGGTCATCACTAACAGTCAACCATGATTGATCAAAAACAAGTCATGATAGACTAATCTGATCTCTTTTTTGATAAGAGTTACAAGCCGGATAGATGCAGGGAACGCTGTGGATGTAGTGTATCTGGATTTCAGGAAAGCCTTCCTTCAACAAGGTTCCCCATGACCTTCTGGTAAGGAAACTAGTCCAATTTGGGGTAGGCAAAACTACAATTAGCTGGATTTGTAATTGCTTAAGTGAACACATCCAGAGGGTGATTCTCCCCAATGCTTCCTCTTCATCCTGGAAAGAAGTGGCGAGTGGAGTGCCATCAGCAGGGTTCTGTCCTGGGCCCGGTCCTGTTCAACGTCTTTATTAATGACTTAGATGAAGAATGAGAATTCATGATGTAACGAATCCCTTACCTTAGCAAGCTAGCTTAGGCCTAGGAGAGTGGGCCTGGCGAATCCCCGGCATCCATTTTAGAGAAGGGAGACACCGTTTTAGGTTAGGTTTGCCTTAAGGGGGCGTGTTCTAGTCTTGGAGGGAAAGTTAGACCACTAGGGTTGGTTAGTGATCTGAAGGGGGAAAAAAGGTGACTTTAAAACTGAGGCTTGAGTTTCCCAGATTGCCAGTTGAGAAGTTGAGAGTTGGAGCTTGGAAAAGGTGTTAGTGAGAGCAGTTTGGGGTTTTGGAGAAGAACTTTGGGTCAGTCTTTTGTTTAGTATTCAGGATAGCTATAGAGAAATATAGCTAGAATACTGTGGGGAGCAGCACCCTGTTAGTGGCCTGTCCTTTTTCTTAAGAAAGGCTAGTTCAGGTTTTGGCTAGATTCCTAAAGGGGGATTTTTGTGGGAGTTACTTTTAGAGATTCATTTCCTGAAGTAATTTTCTGTGTGGAAACTTTAAGACCTGTAACCCAGAAGTTTTTAAGATCTCTTCTCAAACGTAAGCACAAGCTTTGTATGCCAGATTTTTACTGAAACCATCAAGCATTTGTACCTGAAACATCCAACTCTGTTCAAATAAAGTTCTTGTTATTTTTATCAATGAATACCAGCCTCAGTGTGAATACCTTTGTGGTAAAAGTGTTATTCAAGTCAGCTTTTTACCAGCCTCTAAGAAAACTAGAGTAACACAGAGTGTGTTACTGAACAACCTCTCAATAGTACCTCAGCCTGTTCATTAGTAATATGGTGGCAGCGGAAACCTTTTAAAGAATTCTTTTAAGTCTCACAGGTCCAGTGGTTCCCAGTGGAGCCCCCGGTGGTGCAGTGGGTTAAAGCCCTGTGCCGGCAGGACTGAAGACCAACAGGTCGCAGGTTCGAATCCGGAGAGAGGCGGATGAGCTCCCTCTATCAGCTCCAGCTCCTCATGCGGGGACATGAGAGAAGCCTCCCACAAGGATAAAACATCAAAAATCATCCGGGCGTCCCCTGGGCAACGTCTTTGCAGATGGCCAATTCTCTCACAACAGGACACTCCTGACACGACAAAAAAAAAAAGTGGTTCCCAGTTCCTATCTGTTAAATAGACCGTTGGTCCAACAACTATTCTCCCTCTATATTTCTGATGAGCTAATCTGGAGTGGTGTCATCGTTATAATTTGGTAGGCTGCTGCGTAGTTGTTATAATTTTAATGAAGCAGCATTTGGACTTTTATTGTCAAATAGAGTTCCCTACTTTTCCCCACAGATCGTTATAATTTAAAGGAGCAGTGGTGTGATCTTTTTTTTTTTAAATGATTTTTATTAAGTATTTTATAAAACAGGACAACGAAAGAGGGGGAACAATAAGAAGAAAATAGAAAAGTAGGAAAAAAGAAAAAAAAAGGACAAAAAAAAAGAAAAAAAAAAAGACTAAACTAACCTAAACTATTCTAAAATGACTTCCACTCCAACATCAGGATCTTTTCCATCAACTTCTTCTACTCTTGTCTATTCTTATCCTCTAATATTTTTCTAAATTTCTTTTCATAATCATAAAAAGAAGTCCAGTCTGCTCTCTTTAGCGGTTTCCCGGTATTTCTTCTCATTAAAAATGTCAATTCGCCCATGTCTCTAATTTCTTTGACTTTCTCCAACCATTCTTCAACAGTAGGTATCTGTTCATTGTTCCAAAATTTGGCAAAAATAATTCTTGCCGCAGTGGTAAAGTACGTGAATAATTTATCTTCATTTTCCTCT